GATGTGGAATTTAGGTTGGGCACATTACCAGTGAGACCATCAATCTGGTATGAACCAGTTAAGGAGGAACCTAACGACTCTCCAGTTGGTAGAGCATGAGACTCTTAATCTCAAATTAGCAAAAATGTATCAATTTAAATCAAATACATGTTGGAAATGTCAAGAGAAGGAAGGTTCTTTTTATCATATGTGGTGGTCTTGTAGTAAGGTTAAAGCTTATTGGGAAATGATATATAATGAACTGGAAAAGATGTTTAAAATAACGTTTGTAAAAAAACAACAACAACCCAGAAGCTTTCCTTTTGGGAATTACAGGGACAGAACTACCTAAATTGTATAGAAATTTATTTCTGTATGCTACTACAGCAGCAAGAATGTGACTTGCCCCAAAGTGGAAAGAAGCAGAAGTCCCAGTAAAGGAAGAATGGATAGAAAAACTCATGGAATATGCACAAATGGCAAAACTTACCGGAAAAATAAGAAATCAAGATAACAAACTTTTTATAAAAGAATGGAAATGGTTTATTGAATATTTCCAGATAAATTATAAACAGATAAAAATATTAGCGGGATTAATGTAATAACCTGCAATTTTATAAGAGTATGGATATGCAGAAGACAGAAAAAATGAATTTAAGGAACCGCAGTAAGAGGGGGAAGGAAGTCAAATTTTGAAATGTTAAATTGATTGTGAAACTAATGAAATGTATAAATTTGAAAATATAAATAAAAAACTAAAAAAAGGAGACTCTTAATCTCAGGGTTGTGGGTTTGAGCCCCATTTTGGGCAAGTTTCCTGCACTGCAGGGGATTAGATTAGATGACCCTTGCGGTCCCTTCCAACTCTAAAACTCTGTGATTTTATGACTGTATGCTAAAATGAAGAACAGCCCCATATTAGCTACAAGGAGGGTTCTAGTATGCACAGTGAAAAATGGGTAGTGAAAGTCTTTCCAAGGACTATGGTTGGATGAGAGATGCCAAGGTGCTGGACAGCAGGTGGCTGGCTAAACCATGAACAGCTAGGATGATGTACATTTGGCCATATAGGTATGCAACCCTGGAGGTTTGGCAGGGCAGAGGCCCATTCCTCTGGGTGGTTTTGTCTGAATTGCTCCCCTATCTCAGTCACCACTCCTGGCCAACTTTTGTTATTGCTGCTGATCTGTGCACCAGTCAGGGTCAGTCTTCTCCTTCAAGCAGATCTGACAGACCATTTTTGTTTGTTTTCTGAGAGCATTTGTTCCAGGCTTTTCAACAAGAACAACAAAAATGGTTCCCAGAGCAGCTTGCATACTATCAGTTAAGATAAGGCAGCCCTGGCCCCTGCAGGCTTACAATCTAAAAAAAAGAATGTGATGCACAAGAGGAAAGGCGCAGGGGCAGAAAAGGAGGGTAGTAATACTTTGGCACCAATTTGGAGGCCTTCTGCCTGGTTCCCTGTAAACTCGCTTCTCGCAGTTAGGGAACCAGCAGAAGACCCTCAGAGGAGGACCTCAGTGTCCGGTCTGAACAATGGAGGTGGTGACGCTCCTTCAGGTATACTGGGCCAAGGCATTTAGGGCAACACTTTGAATTGTGCTCGGAAGCATACTGGGAACCAATGAAGATCCTTTATGACTGGTTTTATATAGTCTTGGGGGCCACTCCCGGTCACCAGTCTAGCTGCTGCATTCTGGTTTAGTTGTAGTTTCCGGGTCACCTTCAAAGGTAGACCCATGTCGAACGCATTGCAGTAGTCCAATCAGGAGATAACCATAGCATGTACCACTCTGGTGAAACAGTGTGCAGGCAGGTAGGGCCTCAGCCAGCGTACCAGGTGGAGCTGGTAGACAGTTGTCCTGCACACAGAATTGACCTGCACTTCCAAGGACAGCTGTGAGGTCAAAATGACTCCCAGGCTGCACACCTGGTCCTTCAGGGGCAGAGTTACCCCATTCAGGACCAGGGAGTCCCCCAAACCCACACACCCTCTGTCCTCCCAAAAGAGTACTTCTGTCTTATCTTGTCAGGATTCAACCTCAATATGGCTCGGGGTAGGCTTGGGAGTCATGGGTGGGCAGCGCACTGAATGTCACCTCCCTTAGTGTTGACACCCGGGGCTGTCCACCCCCACCGCCCTCCTTCCTTCACCCCTGCCTGAGCTGACACAGCCGGTTTCAGAGGCGGTGTTGAGGACTGCTGGTTTTGAGGAACTTCAATATCCATGGCTCAGAATTTCATGGCTGCCTCTTAAGATAGTTCAGAAATTTCAGCTGGTGCAGAATTTGGTGACTTGGATTCTCACTGGGGCAAGATGGTTGAGCATATTGTACCAATCCTGGCCCGACTGCACTGGCTGCCAATTATTTTCTGAGGCAGACGTCTGGATCATCCTTACATGCTGAAGGCTGAGAAGAACATGACTTCGGTTTGCCTCCCTTCTCATCATCTGAATTCATCAAAAATACAGTGGTACCTCTGGATGCAAACAGGATCCGTTCCAGAGCCCCGTTCGCATCCTGAAGAGAACTCAACCCGTGTCTGCATGTGTTCAGGTCGCAATTTGCCACTTCTGCGCATGACGTCATTTTGAGCGTCTGCGCATGTGCGAGTGGCAAAACCCAGAAGTAACACGTTCCGTTACTTCCAGGTAGCCGCGGACCACAACCCGAAAACTCTCAACCTGAAGCAATTTTAACCCAAGGTATGGCTATACTTTCAGAGGTTTGGGAATGGGCAGGGGCGGAGGAAGGGGGGCGGTGGGGGCGGGACACCCCGGGTGTCACTACTGGGGGGTGACAAAATGGCAGGCGGCACTCATTGTGGGGCCTGCAGCGTGCCCAAAGCCGCGTGTCTCTCTTGGGAGTGATGGATTGGCTTGACTGCCCGCAGGTTCCTCACTGCCCCAAACAGTCCGCCATCCGCCTCCCCCTCAGCTGTAGATCTCTGAGTGGGAGGAGGCAGGCAGGCTTCTCGGAGGCCCAGTGGAGCGCACTGCCCTGTGGGTGATTGGCCCCACCACTGGGCGCAGGGCATGTACGCTGCCCCAGGTGCCTGATTGGCTTGCTCCGCCGCTGGGAATGGGAAGACCTTCACTGTGCAGAACTGGTTATGCTACTGTCCACTTCTTTCGCCCTGTGATGCCTTTGAGGCTTTGCTTTATAGTACAGTGGTGCCTCGCAAGACGAAATTAATCCGTTCCGCGAGTCTCTTCGTCTTGTGGTTTTTTCGTCTTGTGAAGCACAGCTATTAGCAGCTTAGCGGCTATTAGCGGCTTAGCGGCTATTAACGGCTTAGTGGCTTAGTGGCTTAGCGGCTTAGCGGCTATTAACGGCTTAGCGGCTATTAACGGCTTAGCGGCTTTAAGAAAAAGGAAACAAACGTTTCGTCTTGCGAAGCAAGCCCATAGGGAAATTCGTCTTGCGGAACGACTCAAAAAACGGAAAACCCTTTCGTCTAGCGAGTTTTTCGTCTTGCGAGGCATTCGTCTTGCGGGGCACCACTGTAATGAGTGCATCATCTTGCGTCAGAGATCATAAAGCCGGGATGTCATGACTCAACCGCAGGCCATCAGTCCTGGGGTTGGTGTGTATGATGCGATATGGCACCATACGGTGCAATCAGGAGTATGAAATGCAACGTTGCCAAATGAAATCATGTACACAATGTGGACTGGGTCGTTTATACATGACCATCTTTGTATCTCCTCAACAGGAGCCAGTCAACAAATTTTATTATCATTATTGGGTTCAGCACCTTGAAATTAGAAAAAGAGAAAGGCTGTTTCATTTCAGAGGCACTTTGTGAATTGTGAAATTTAGGAAGTTCTACTACTTTCTAACTAAGACAGGTTTTACTGCCTATGTGATTTTCTGAAGTCCAAGAACCTGACCTTTGATGAGTTTATAAGTAAACTACGTTTTATTTTCCAAGCTTGTGGTCTCCTGGGGGAAGAAGGAAACTTTAGAAAGGTTTTTTTTTTTTAATGGGGACATTTTGGAATTCACTTTAGAGAGTATATTTTAAAGGTCCAACAACCTATATTTCCATGCTTTACTTTGCTGCGTATTTTGTGATCTCGACTGGAGGTCTCTCACCAAAGAGTACTTGCCCCAAGCCTGGATCTTGGAATCCAGGAATTTTCCTTTTTATATAGTGCTATGAATTTGGGGTGTACACATAATAGTTTTTTCCCCTCTTAGGCCAACAGACGAGAAAACAGTACCACTTATGTGATTAGAATACCATTTATGAATATATATCTGATCCAAATGATTCAAGTTTTCTTTCCAAATGGAATGGTTCACAATGGTGGTTGGTATTTGCAATGCAGGAGGCAGATTCCAGGACGATTCCTCCATCCCCATCCTCATGCAGACATCTTTCCCATGTTATTTTTGACTTTCTGCATGGAATTGCAAAAGACAAGAGATCCTGTTATCACAGCAAGAGGTGGGGGCCTCGGCCCATGGAGAAAACCCACAAAGGTTGCAGTTGTATTCCTTTGGACCCTGCTCCTGGTCATTTAACAAGTCCATGAACCTGGCCTTTGAAGAGTTTATAAGTAAACTATGTTTTATTTTCCAAGCTTGTGGTCTCCTTGGGGAAGAAGGAAACTTTAGAAAGGTTTCCCCCCCCCCCATGGGGACATTTTGGAAATCACGGTAGAGAGCATATTTTAAAGGTCCAACATCTTATATTTCTATGCTTTACTTTGCTGCGTATTTTGTGATCTCGACTGGAGTTCTCTCACCAAAGAGTACTTGCCCCAAGCCTGGATCTCAGAATCCAGGAATTTTCCTTTTTATATAGTGCTATGAATTTCGGGTGTACACATAATAGGTTTTTTCCTCTTAGGCCAACAAAAGAGAAAACAGTACCACTTATGTGATTAGAATACCATTTATGAATATATTTCTGATCCAAATGATTCAAGTTTTCTTTCCCAAATGGAATGGTTCACAATGGTAGTTGGTATTTGCATTGCAGGTGGCAGATTCCAGGACAATTGCTCCATCCCCATCCTCATGCAGACATCTTTCCCATGTTATGTTTGGCTTTCTGCATGGAATTGCAAAAGACAAGAGATCCCATTATCACAGCAAGAGGTGGGGGCCTCGGCCCATGGAGAAAACCCACAAAGGTTGCAGATGTTTTCTTTTGGTCCCTGCAGATGTTTTCAAATGATAATGTTCCTGTTCTCCAGGCCATAGGTGATAACTGCCCTGAGACATGCGGGTATAGGGTGGTATATAAAATCAATTAATAATAATAATATCAGCAAATCAGCAGGAAGGTGTCAATGTCGGAATGAGTTGGATGCTGGAGGGGTCTGTGGCGCCTTCCATTCCCCTGTAGAAGCACAAACCAGCATGCTGAGAGGTGATGATGGGCAAAGCCAGAGCTTTTTTTTCTGGGGGGACACAGGGGTACGCACACCCCTAAACATTTTGTGAATCTAATGGAACAAGAAACTAAACATTTTAAGGAAGCACCAGGGCTCTGGCAGGATGCTGGAGCCTTCCTGCCTCCCTTGGAAACCCAGGTGGTGTTTGGGAAGCTGGCAGGAGGGCTCTTGGACCTATCAGAGCATCATAACGCCTCCCTCCCTAATCAGGGCTGAAGTTTCCTGGGCTTTGGGAAGGAGGCGCCAGGGGAACATTTAGGGGACCAACCTTGTTCCCCTAACCCACTGCCCATACACCACGGCCAAGATCATTTCGTATGAATCAAACACCCTTTCTTGGACACTCGCCAGGGTGGGGTGGGTGGTTTATCTCCCTGTCAGAGAACACGGTCTGCATATACAAGGTCCCAGGTCTAAACCAGCTAAAATTATCAGTGTTCATGGAGACTTCTGCCTGAGGCCTGGGCCTACCTTTGAAGGTGACCCGGAGATTACAACTAATCCAGAATGCGGCAGCTAGACTGATGACTGGGAGTGGCTGCCGAGACCATATAACACCGGTCCTGAAATACCTACATTGGATCCCAGTATGTTTCCAAGCACAATTCAAAGTGTTGGTGCTGAGCTTTAAAGCCCTAAACAGCCTCGGTCCAGTATACCTGAAGGAGTGTCTCCACCCCCATCGTTCAGCCCGGACAATGAGGTCCAGCACCGATGGCCTTCTGGCGGTTCCCTCACTGCGAGAAGTGAAGTTACAGGGAACCAGGCAGAGGGCCTTCTCGGTAGTGGCGCCCGCCCTGTGGAACGCCCTCCCATCAGATGTCAAGGAAATAAACAACTATCTAACTTTTAGAAGACATCTGAAGGCAGCCCTGTTTAGGAAACTTTCTAATGTCTGATGTTTTATCATGTTTTTAATATTCTGTTGGGAGCTGCCCAGAGTGGCTAGGGAGACCTGGCCTGACGGGCGGGGTATAAGAAGTACTACTACTACTATTACACATCTTGTATTTCAAGGATATTTAAAGCACGCTGAAGAATCCTGGGAACTGAGGTTTGTTCAGAGTGCGTGGAGTTGTAGCTCTGAGAGGAGACCACAATTCCCAGGATCCTCTGGGGTGGGTTACGCATCTGGGATCTCCCCAAGGGAGGGGTATCGCCTTTCAGTTGTGACCTGAAACCCTTTTAAATGTGCTTTAAGGTATGGTGTCCTGTATATGACCCTGCAGAGCTGGAGTCAAATCAGAGTAGGGTGCTTCTTCCTTGGGGACTCACAGCACAACCTTAGATGTGTCTACTCATGAGTAAACACCACTGAATTCCATAAAGCTTATGACCTCCCAGGTAAGTGTGCAGAGGACTAATTATCGTACCTTTTTCGGATCTTCTTATGCACAGATCTCTGTGGATGATAAGAAATGCGGTTAATGAGTGAGCAAGATGTGGGATTGGGTCCAGGGCACAGAACAAGATCAGGATTATTATTACCGGTATTTTGTTCCATAGCCAACAATAGACTGGCTGTCAGATATCAGTAGGGTTTTCTCTTTTTTAAAGGATCCATAATGCTTATCTACATGTGGGGGAAACCTTCTCTTGATAAAACCTCAAGGGCCGCTTTTCTCCACATGAACCAACCTGGATCCCGCAATCATCATGTTAGGCCTTTCTTCATGTGCTTCTTCCACAAAAGGTCTGGAAGGTGGCAACACAAGAACGGACCTTTTCTGCAGTGGCTCCCCATTTTGCAGGCATTCTCCCCAGGGAGGATTGCCTGGAACCACCGTTATATCTATTTAGGCACTGGGCAAAAATGTTCCCCTTCAGCCAGGACTTTGGCTGATGAACAGTCTATGTCCTTTTACATGTGTTTGTGGGAGGGATGGCTTATGGCAGGGGTCAGCAAGGTTTATCGTGCCTGGGCTGGATCGGTCCCATGGAGTTCTCTCTGTGGGTTGGATTCTGCACACACGTGAGCGGGCACACCCATGATTTTCAGCGTCTGCATCTGCGCAGATGTGATTTCCGGCATCTGCGCGTGCGCAGATGCGATTTACAGCACCGTGGAAGTGAGTCCCAGTTTAGCGAGTGGGCAGCTTGGTTCGGGGGTGGCTCGTGGGCCGGTCAAACAACCTCCACGGGCTGCTTCTGGCCCATGGGCCTTAGGTTTCTGACCCCTGGCTTATGGGTTTGTTTTGTTATTGTTCTCCTTTTTATTATGTATTTTTATGTTTTTATATTGTATTTTTATACAGTGGTACCTTGGGTTAAGAACTTAATTCGTTCTGGAGGTCTGTTCTTAACCTGAAACTGTTCTTAACCTGAGGTACCGCTTTAGCTAATGCGGCCTCCCGCTGCTGCCGTGTGATTTCTGTTCTCATCCTGAAGCAAAGTTCTTAACCCGAGGTACTATTTCTGGGTTAGCGGAGTCTGTAACCTGAAGCGTCTATAACCTGAGGTACCACTGTACTGCGAACTGTCCCGAGATCTTCAAATTTAATAAATCCTAATAATGTAAGAAAGTACTTCCTGATGTTTAGTTGGAACCCCCTGTCTTCTAATTTGAATCCACTGGTACAGAAGCTAGCCTCCAGAGCACGAGAAATCAAGCGAGCTCCATCTTCCATGTGACAGCCCAGGAGACATTTGAAGAGGACTATCCCATCCTCTCTCAATCTCCTCTGCTCCAGGCTAAACACCACCCAACTCCCTCAACTGTTCCTTATCAGGCTTCATATCCAGATTCTAATTATACCTGGTGATCTCTAGAGTCCAAGCGGCTAGCATCATCATCACCATACCTTCAAACCAGGGCGGAGAAAATCTTAAGCATTAATTGCCCTTACCATTTTCGGATACATAGAAGATTGCCTCTGGATCAAGTTGCATATCTTTGGCCAAAGTTTTAAATTTTTCTTTCACTTCATCTGACACAGTCTTTTCCCTGCCTTAAGACACAAACAAGGAGTTGGCATTGAGAATCAGCATCATAGTGCAGGAGGATAGATCATAGAATGGTACAGTTGGGGTCATCTAGTCCCCTGCAATGCAGGAATCTCAGATAAAGGATCCATGACAGATGGCCACCCAAACTCTGCTCAAAAACTTCTAAGGAAGGAGAGTCCACAACCTCCTGAGGGAGTCTGTTCCACTGCCGAACAGCTCTCACTGTCAGAAAATACCGTATTTTTCGCTCTATAAGACGCACCAGACCACAAGATGCACCTAGTTTTTGGAGGAGGAAAACAAGAAAATAAGTATTCTGAATCTCAGAAGCCAGAACAGCAAGAGGGATCACTGTGCAGTGAAAGCAGCAATCCCTCTTGCTGTTCTGGCTTCTGGGATAGCTGCGCAGCCTGCATTCACTCCATAACACACACACACACATTTCCCCTTACTTTTTAGGAGGGAAAAAGTGAGTCTTATGGAGCGAAAAATACGGTACTTCCGGATGTTTAGTCCGAATCTCTTTTCTTGTAACTTGAAGCCATTGTTTTTGAGAACTACCCTCCACAGCAGGACAAAACAAGCGTGCTCCCTCTTCCATGTGACAGCCCTTAAGATATTTGAATATGACTATCATCTCTCAGTCTCCTCTTTACCAGGCTAAAGATACCCAGCTCCTTCAACCATTCCTCGTAAGGCTTGGTTTTCAAACCCTTGATCACCTTGGTTGCCCTCCTCTGCACACATTTCAGCTTGTCAATATCCTCCTTAAATTGTGGCACCCAGAACTGGACACTGTATTCCAGGTGTGGTTGGACCAAGGCAGAATGGAGTGGTCCTGTGACTTCTTTAGATCTGGACACAATACTTCTGCTGATGTAGCTGAGATTTGCATTAGCTCTTTTTTTGCTGCTGCATCACGCTGTTAAGTATCTTAACAAATCCATCTTGCCTGACTCCTTCCCTTCCCCTTTTTTTAAAAGAATAGCTTCAGAAGGAGGAGGTTTGAAATGAAAAACCAAAAGCCTGGGCAGTGTTCCTTCTCCATTCTGAATTGTCCCATCCTGATGCAACCTTCAGGGGTTTGTGAGGCACATTTGCACAGAGCATGCCAACCAGCACTTTAAGCTACTCTGCCTCGCAGGGTTGTCGTGGGGACGAAAATTTGAATTGCCAATAAAGGTAAAGGCACCCCTGACCATTAGGTCCAGTCACAGACGACTCTGAGGTTGCGGCGCTCATCTCGCATTATTGGCCGAGGGAGCCGGCGTACAGCTTCTGGGTCAAGTGGCCAGTATGACTAAGCCGCTTCTGGCGAACCAGAGCAGCGCACAGAAATGCTGTTTACCTTCCCACTGGAGCGGTACCTATTTATCTACTTGTGCTGCATGCTTTTGAACTGCTAGGTTGACAGGAGCTGGGACTGAGCAACAGGAGCTCAGCCTGTCGCGGGGATTCGAACCACTGACCTTCTGATCGGCAAGCCGTAGGCTCTGTGGTTTAAATTGCCAGTAGATGGTGGCAAATTTGTTGTTGACATTTTATCAAGATGCTCAAAGTATTCTGACAAATCTAGTGGCAGGGGTGGGGAGTGGATTACTCTATTGGCAATTAGTGGTGGTATTTACATCTCCTTAGACAAACTGGGAGGAAGGGCAAAATTTTCAAAAGATGGGCACAACAGGTGTGCCCATCATAACCTACGGCACCCAAACAAGCTCCCACGGGCCAGTCTCCAGACATACCAAAGAGCTGTAGCTCGCCTGAACGCACTGTTCTGAAGAGGACGGTATGGTAAGTCTCATAATCTGTATCCACGATGTGTACCTTTGTCCACCCATCTATTGAAAAAGAGCCGCAAAAGATCCATTAACAGGCATGGGAGTCACTTCCACAGATGCAAAAGAAAGGTGTGTGTGTGGGGGGGGGGTTAGAGAAAGCACTTTTTCACTCAGCCCATAGTTAAACTATGGAACTCACTGCCCCAAGAGAGATTTGTGGAGGAGGAGAGGGCTATCAATGGCTCTGCCTCCACAGTTGGAGGAAGAAATTCTTCTGAATACCTGTTGCTGGAAACCACAGGAGGGGAGAGTTAATTAAGGAAACATTACTGCAGTTTGGAGACAGAGGAAATACCTACATTGGCTCCCAGTACGTTTCCAAGCACAATTCAAAGTGTTGGTGCTGACCTTTAAAGCCCTAAACGGCCTCAGTCCAGTATATCTGAAGGAGCGTCTCCACCCCCATTGTTCAGCCCGGACACTGAGATCCAGCTCTGAGGGCCTTCTGGCGGTTCCCTCACTGCGGGAAGTGGGGTTACAGGGAACCAGGCAGAGGGCCTTCTCGGTAGTGGCACACGCCCTGTGGAACGCCCTCCCATCAGATGTCAAGGAAATAAACAACTCTCTGACTTTTAGAAGGCATCTGAAGGCAGCCTTGTTTAGGGAAGTTTTTCATATTTGATGTTGCCGCTTTTTTACTATTAATATTCTGTTGGGAGCCGCCCAGAGTGGTTGGGGAAACCCGACCAGATGGGCGGGGTATACATAATTGAGAGAAGCCAAATATTCCATTCAGGCCCTTCTAGCTCTCAGGAGAAACCCATCTATCTCAATCCAGAAAGGAAGAGAAGTCTGCTTCCGTTTCTGGTAGCGAACTTGGAAAGTTGCTCTCCCAGGTTCGCTGGAGCTTGAGGGCAGGGGGTGGGGGGGTGGCTTGGATGGAGATAATGGAGAAATCTATTATACTTACCTACACTATCGAATTCGGCCTGCTTTACAGGGTGTACACGAACTGTTTTACTCAGACATTCTCCATCCCTGGAAAGAAAGGCAGTGTTGTGAAGTTGCTACCCCCCCCCCATTCAGCACGCCCCCCCCCAATCTCAGCACAAGATTTCAAAGGGGTTCCAGCTGCTCAGCCAGGGCCGTGTTTCCTCTGAGAATCACGCTGTATTGCCTTTAAGAAATATGGTGTAATTACACATATTTACACCTGAGTTTAGCTTGAATGACCTTTATTACGGTCACAGACCAGGATTAAAAAAGCATATAGATAAAATAGCAGTTAGGATTTTTTGACCGATAATTGTTAGGGCAAATGAGGACAAGGAAACAGGCATAAAACATCCTAATAAAATACAAGATTAAACACAGATAATGGATGGATAAAAAACTAATAATTAAAACAGATAAGAGCTAGAAACCAACAAAGACACACAGTTAAAACAACTGTAAGAGCATAAGAGCTAAAAGAGTCGCAGATAAAACAACTATAAGAGGCCGCAGAGTAGAAGCCTCTTAACTAGAGTTTAGATGGAGTTAAAATGAGTTTAGATGGAGGAGTTGCAAATCTGACCACACCGTCATCTCAGGAGGAGGCTTGTTCCCCACAGTGGGCAGCACTGGAATCCAAGGCATCCTCTATGCCAGTGTTTCCCAACTGGTGTTCCGCGGCACACTAGTGTGCCGCGAGACGTTACCTGGTGTGCCGTGGGAGGGAGGCGGGCGCTTTCTCGTTCGCGCCCTGCAGCGAGATGGGCAGCGCAGCGCCGCAGAAGAGGCCCAGGAGGCAGCAGGCGCCCAGCGCGCGCCCGAGTCCCGCCCAGCTCGCCATGTCCGCCCGCAGCATTGGCGACCCGAGCCAGGCTCCGCGCGCGACGCCCGTCTTATGGCGCGCGCCTCTGCCGAACGCTCAGCCCTGGCGCGAGCGGCTTAGCAACGCCATCCAATCAGGGCGCATCTCGGCTGGGCGGCCGCGGCATTCTGGGAAATGTAGTCCTTGGGCAGCAGCGGCATTCTGAGAAGGCGCGCTTCTTCGCCGCTGCGCCTTTTCTTCCTCATTCCTTCTTTGCTGGCAACGCAAAAAGAGGCGGAGGAGGAAGAGCTGCTGGAAATGCCTGCGTGGGCATCGGCGCCCCCTTTCGCTGCAATAAGACTCCGCTAAAAACTGCAGTTGGGCAAGCTTTTGTTCCACCCTCGTTTGAACTGCGTTTGCAAAGGCTCTTCCACACCATGATAAACAAAATCCCACTCTCACTTTTTTACAAAATCTGTGAGTTTATGCTTTAATGGCTTTGATGGATTTTGTTAGCCCCTTAAAAACACAGAGAGAGAGAGACTAAGCCACTTCAGATTGCCAAATTCTTTGTTTTCAGTCATCCTTACCACTCCGTACCCTTTGATGCGAAAGGATTTATTTAGGATCCTGCATATTTTCATAATTTTGAAAGCACTTTAAAAGTATAATGCAAACAAGCAGTTAGGAGCCTTTGCTGAAATCCAGAAACCTCCGCCACGAACAGATGTAATTTTGAACATACCATGCAGCAAAATCCACCGGCAATGAGGGCTGATTAAAACTTGTACTTTTGCACATTCTGTATCATGACTTTGACATCCTAGTACAAATTACTAGGGGCTGTCAATAGGTTTAAGTAAGCATGAGGCCGTTGTGGTCACACATTAAATTCTTATATTCTGGAATATAAGAATTGTGGAGGAGGTGTTTTACGCCCTCAAAACAGCAGGTTCACATCCTGGAAACACTCCTGGTTCTAGATTAACATACCAATATGAGTCCAGGTTTGGGAAATTCACTTTAAGGATCTTCTGGTGGATGAGAGGCACTTTAGCACTCTCTCCCCAAAACCCTATAATTAGGATTAAGGCACTTTTGTGGGGATTGCTTAATTTCGTTGTGGGCGCTTTGATACGGTTTCTTATGAGTGCATTTGGGTAATTATGTAAATATTGCCATGTCGTAAGCCGCCTCGAGCATGGTTTTTAACTATGGAAACAGCATGCAAATGACGATGATATCTAGGGAGGTTTCAAAGGCTTTGTAAGCAGAGTGAAGGAAATAAATCCAGATGTGATTGTTACGCATTGTTTTTTGCACCGTGAGGCCCTCGTAGCCAAGACTTTACCAGCAGACCTAGTTCATGTGTTGGATGATGTTGTGCGCATGGTAAACAGGCCCAGGTTGCGCACTGAATAAAGTATTTTATAATTTTTCATATTTCTGTTTACTTACTATTTCATAATAAAGTAATTATAAAATACTATCTTTGTGTTTATTTGATTCCTATTAAAGAGAGTTACTTTATATATAGTCAATATAGGCACAGAGTTAATTTTTTAAACATTTTCTAATGGTGGTGTGCCTCGAGATTTTTTTCATGAAACAAGTGCGCCTTTGCCCAAAAAAGGTTGGGAAACACTGCTCTATGCCTCTGTCCCAGCCTGCCAAGATGGCCCTGACCTTTGACTCCTTCCCCTTCCCAGCACCCCCCCCAAAAAAGAACAATTTTTTCTGTGACATTATCCCCATCAGCAGCTTGGAGTTGGCCAGTCCTGGAGTTCTGGGGGGGGGGGGCATTGCCCAGTTTCAGAAGAAGAGGGAGCAACTGGAAGCTGCCCAATAGACATTCAGAATCTCAGCTGATGTAACTGACTTTCGGGGACCAGGGATACAGCTAAGGCTGGACCTCAGACAAAATGACCGCTCCCCACATTAACTGGGGGGTGGCTTTTGCGTGGTTGGGCACAGTGCCCCCCCCAGGACTACAGTGGTACCTCAGGTTACATACCCTTCAGGTTACATACGCTTCAGGTTACAGACTCTGCTAAACCAGAAATAGTGCTTCAGGTTAAGAACTTTGCTTCAGGATGAGAACAGAAATTGTGCAGCGGCGGCAACAGCAGCAGGAGGTCCCATTAGTTAAAAGTGGTGCTTCAGGTTAAGAACAGTTTCAGGTTAAGAATGGACCTCCGGAACGAATTAAGTACATAACCAGAGGTACCACTGTACTAGACCCCCGGCAAGGTAGTTGGCTTCACCGCTCCCCCCCCCAAGCTGGATACCTGGAGGTTCCTGCCTAGCCTCGTCAATCAGCCAATCCTGGCTGGGGGGGGCACGTTGCCAAGGGAATTGCCCAGGTATAGTTAGGACCGCCCACACTCACAATAGAGGGTGTAACTTACCTGTTGGTCCTCCTGAACTTCCCACCCTGCCCTCCCTCAATTTATGCTTATTTTGCAGTTTAATCTCCTTCTTTACAGATATGCAGCCGCTGCTGCGGTCCTAGATGGTCACCGTTGAGGGACCGGGAAGGAATTCCCCTGCATTGGCAGGTTTCACCTTCCCCGTAGCAAAACGTCACAACTTTGTATGCCTTGGGCGGAATCCTTTAGTCTATCTTCCCTCAATTGAGGGTGGAGGCGTGAAGCGGTGACCCACGCCCCCCCCCCGCGCCGGAAATTCCAGGGTTCCCCGTTAAAGGAGTTATTTTGAGGGGAGGCACTGGCCATAGGCCAATGGGTTGTCAGTGCTCTCCCCTACGATGCGGCGAAATGGGGGTGGGGGGTGGGCTCTCTGCTTGAACAGACGTTCTCCAGAGTCAGCCCAATCCCCACACACTTTGGATAACCCTGATGTTCCCCAGATCCCCGGCTGGGGACTGGGAGGGATAAACGCCCAATGCCTAAGCCAAGGTCTTCCTACATCTGAGGAATTTAATAAAATTGTAGCCAATTTTAATCCCATAACATGTTGTCAGGTGTCACTATTCCTCCCGGGGGATGCCTGGGGCTTGGGGGGGTGTCTCTGCCTGTCCAGGTAAAGTCCTGGGTATACGACCTAGCCTCCCTGCTGAAAGAGACAGGGGTAGGTGGGCAACAGGCCCGAGCCTCAGGGCCCTTCCCCTTATTCTGTGCTGCGTGAAGGGAGATCATGATCACAGCAACGGAAGCAGACTTACCATGGATAAGAAACTTTGAAGACCAGTCCTCCATCCTCTTGGGGCTCCACTGAATAGCCAAAGAGTGGTCTCTTTTGTTTGTTATACTGTACCATTGCAATAGGAAACCACTTACCGCTGAGCTACAAAGAAGATGTTTGTTTGTGTGTTACTGTTTTTGTGTTGTTGAGAAAGACATTTCTATATATATTGTAGGCTGGTAGCTAAAGTGGCGTAGTGGTCTCAGGCTTTCCACTCTGGGCCACACTTTCAGAATGGAAATTTGCTCAAGCCACATCAAGGTTTTTTTTTTTTAATTGATAAGAAATACATCTCAAAACAAAAAGAAGCAACTCCTAGCAGTGCTTGATTAATAACACAGAACACAACTGCTTTATAAGTACAGTAGCACCTTGGTTCTTGAACTTAATCTGTTCCTGGAGTCTGTTTGACTCCCGAAACTGTTCGAAAACCAAGGTGCAGCTTCTGATTGGCTGCAGGTGCGGCTGCAGGTGCGGCTTCTGATTGGTCAAGTGGAAGCCGTGTCAGACGTTCGGCTTCCGAAAAAAGTTCACAAATCGGAACACTTATTTCTGGGTTTGCAGCATTCGGGAGCTAAAGCCTATGAGTACCAAGGCGTTCAAGAACTAAGGTACACCGTATAAAACAATGCTACATACGAACATGACTCATTCCCAAAATATTGTTAGAGAAGTTGGGTGCCACCCTACACTCGGCCGAGCAGGTTCCAGGCACTCACCTAGGGTTTGTGCTCCTTAGGAGAACTGAACACACTGCAAAAATATGATTTATTCACATATTTACTCCTTCAGTCCGCATGGAGGGAGTCCAGATCTTACAGAATGGTCATTTCAAGAGGGGCTTGTGCCCCACAGGGGTGCAGCCTTGGAGTATAAGTCATTTCTCCTAGCCAGCCTTCTCAAGATGGATTCCACTCTTTCTTCTTCCTTCTTCTTCCCAGAAAACCCTGCTAAAAACTCTCTTTTCCTGTCACCTCACACCCAGTTACCCTAGCAACATTCCAACCCCCCAGTCTCTGTTCACACCTCAGGGCAAGGCAAGAGGACATCTCCAATGACTCTCAATGGCCCTGATATGTTTCTTAATGGCCTTGGCTTGGCCAGGTCGTTTTGCATAGGCTAGCTCAAGATCTCTTTACAGTTTGTAGTTCTCCCTTCACATCCCAAATAATCAAAATCCCATCATTTATTAGTTTCTAGGGTTTGGGAGGGGTGTCCCCCAATCTATAACAATATAATTGCAAACAAGTAAAAAGGTAAAGGTACCCCTGCCCGTACGGGCCAGTCTTGACAGACTCTAGGGTTGTGCGCTCATCTCACTCTAGAGGCCGGGAGCCAGCGCTGTCCGCAGACACTTCCGTGTCACGTGGCCAGCGTGACGAAGCTGCTCCAGTGAGCCGGCACCAGAGCAGCACACGGAACACCGTTTACCTTCCCGCTAGAAAGCGGTACCTATTTATCTACTTGCACTTAATTGTGCTTTCAAACTGCTAGGTGGGCAGGAGCTGGGACTGAAAGACGGGAGCTCACCCCGCCGCGGGGATTCGAACCGCCGACCATGCGATCGGCAAGTCCTAGGCGCTGAGGTTTTACCCACAGCGCCACCCGCGTCCCTTACAAACAATTACAAACAAGCCTC